AGATAGCACTCTGATTATCACCAAATAAGATGTACCTTGGCTACTCAAAGCCAAGATCATTAATAAACTCCTTCATCTATAATAGTTCTTTGGCACCTTCTGTGACGGAAATATATTCGACTTCTGTGGTGGATAGAGCTATGCACTCCTTTAGTCTAGATTGCCAAGAAACAGCTCCCCCTGCAAAAGTGATCAAATAACCAGAAGTAGATCTTGAATTATCAAGATTGCCTCCTAAATCAGAGTCTGTGTAACAAACAAGTTCAGGTTTGCCATTACCAAAGCACAACTCCAAATCTGCAGTACCTTTCAAATACCTTAATATCCATTTTACTGCATCCCAATGTTCTTTTCCAGGATTAGAAAGGAATCTACTAACAGTACCAACGACATGCACAATATCTGGTCTAGTGCAAACCATAGCATACATCAAGCTACCAACAACAGAAGAGTAAGGAATACGAGACGTTCCTTTTACTCTTCATCAATATATGGACTCTAACTAATACTCAATTTGAAGTGTTTAGCAAGAGGAGTACTAACCACTTTTGCATTTGTCATATTGAACCTCTTGAGTACCTTCTCAATGTATTGCTTTTGGGACAGAAATAACTCCTTTCTATCTCTGTGTCGGTGGATTTGAATGCCCAAGATTTTCTTTGCTGGACACAAGTCCTTCATCGCAAACGATTTGCTCAACTGCTTCTTAAGGACTGCAATTCTGGATTTATTCTTGCCAACAATAAGCATGTCATCCACATAAAGCAATAAAATAATAAAATCATCAACGGAGAACTTCTAGAAGAATACACAGTGGTCTGAAGAAGTTTTCTTGTACCCTTGTTCTTTAATAACAGATTCAAACTTCAAATACCATTGCCTTGGAGCTTGTTTCAATCCATACAGGCTCTTTTTCAATTTGCAGACATAATTTTCTTTACCCTTAGTTATAAAACCCTCAGGTTGTTCCATATAAATCTCCTTATTTAAATCACCATGAAGAAAAGCAGTCTTGACATCCATCTGCTCAACCTCTAAATCTAGACTTGCAGCTAAGCCTAGAACCACACGAATAAAAGACATCTTCACAATAGGGGAGAAAATTTTATCAAAGTCAACTCCCTTCTTTTGGCCAAAACCTTTGACAACTAACCTCGCCTTGTATCTAGGCGCAGAGTTATGATTATCTTGCTTTATTCTGAATATCCATTTGTTAGATAAAGCTCTCTTACCTTTCGGCAATTTCACTAACTCATATGTGCCATTCTCATGGAGTGACTTCATCTCATCTTCCATGGATTCTATCCACTGATCTTTGTGAGTATCTTGCATGGCTTCATCATAGCTCTCAGGTTCTCCCATGTCAGTCAAAAGTACATACTCATCAGGAGGATAACGCATGGATTTTTGCTTCTCCCTTCTAGATCTTCTAAGAGAGGTCTCAGGAGCATTTGAAGTAGTTACCTGAGCAGGAATTGGTTGTTGATCAACCAAAACTTCATCAACTAGAGCATCCATAATATTTACACCATGATGATCATTTTGATCCTGATCACTATCTTCATTATTGTCATGGGTTCCTTCATGTGCATTAGGTTCCTTAGCAATAGAAATTGGATCAATGTCAACTAAGCTCTCATTACTCTAAACATCTGTCTTCTCAGCTTTATCAATATCTTCAATAGTCTGATCTTCAAAGAATATTGTATCACTACTTCTAATAAGTTTATTGTCAACTGGATCATAAAAACGATACCCAAAATCATCTTAACCATAACTGCTAAAGATGCACTACTTAGTTTTGACATCCAGTTTCGATCTTTTATCTTTAGGAACATGCACACAAGCTTTACACCCAAAAACTCTCAGGTGATCATAAGAAACATCTTTGGCAAACCAAACTCTATCTGAGACATCACCATCCAAAGCAACAGCAGGAGACAAATTGATAACATAGGCAACAGTGTTAAGTGCTCCCGCCCAAAATGTATTTGGCAGTTTAACCTCTGAAAGCAGGCATCTAACTCTTTCAACTAGAGTTCTATTCATCCTCTCTGCCAAACCATTCCATTGAGACGCCTTGGGCAAAGTTTTCTAATGACGAATTCCTTGTTCCTTGCAATAGTTATCAAAGGGACCACAATATTCACCACCATTGTCAGTGCGAATACATTTTAATTTCTTCCCCGTCTGTCTCTCGGCTAAGGCCTGAAATTCCCTAAACACGCCAAGTGCTTGATCTTTAGATTTCAAAGGATACACCAGAGCTTACGAGAATGATCATCAATGAAGGTCACAAAGTAAAGTGAACCACCTTTTGACTTTACTTTAAAAGGACCACACAAATCAGAGTGTACTAGCTCCAATAAATCGGTCTTTCTTGAGGCAGGATGGCTATGAAAGAAAACCCTTTTCTGTTTGCCAGCTAAACAATGGATACACCTTTTCAGCTTTTCTTGTTTCACTCCAGAAAGCAAACTTTTCTTAGCCAAACATGTAATCCCTCTCTCGCTCATATGACTCAATCTTCTGTGCCACAATTATGATAAAGTATCACTTTCCACCAGATTTTTTGAGTCATTAAGAATATAGCCCTGTGTCACATATAAATGACCAAACTTGACTCCTCGAGCTACTACTAACGAGCCCTTAGCGAGCCTCCATTGGTCATTAAAGAGGGTATTATGGTAACCTTCATCGTCTAATCTTCCTGTGGAGATCAAATTAAAAGAAAAGTCTGGAGCATGCTTGACATCTTGAAGAACTAACGTTGAACCATTATAAGTTTTCAAACAAATTGTGCCAACACCAAACGCCTGAACTTCACTGGCATTGTCCATCTTTAACACTCCAGAATCAACAGGAGTATAAGATGAGAAAAAATCTTTTCTTAGTGTGACATGTAAGGTAGCTCCAGCCTATCCAGCTCGACTCACGGAATACCAAATTGATGACGTTTTCATCATAAGCAAAAAGAAGGTCATCTCGAACAATAGCAACAACATTGTTCTCGTTATTTTCAACTTTCTTTCCTTGTCTAATGTCTTGCAACAACTTGCGGCAAAACCTTTTGATATGTCCTTTCTTGCCACAGTGGTTGCATGTAATATTACGGTATTTGGACCTTGACTTACTTCTACTTTTACCTCTATTCCACGAGCCTCTTGTTCTATCTCTCCCCCGGTCTTCTATAACCAAGATATCTGCTTGTGAGGACGAACCCTGAGATTTTCTCCTTACTTCCTCGTTCAATACACCACTCTTGGCATATTCCATGGTCACCTTACCTCCAAGAGCTGAATTTGACAAAGAAACACGAAGAGTTTCCCAAGAGTCAGGCAGAGTATTAAGAAGCTAAAGTCCTTGTATCTCATCATCAAAACTAACTCCCATTCCAAACAGCTTATCAAGGATGCCCTGAAAATCATTTATGTGATCAAAGATAGGGTTGTCTAGCTTGTATTTAAAGGTCATCAATTGCTTTTACAGGAACAACTTGTTGTTTCCAGTTTTTGAAGCATAAAGAGTCTCTAGAGAAGGAACACATTTGCCTACTCTTTCAAATAAGAGATTGAAACCTTATAAAAAAAATTCGATTTTCATGTGATATATAAGTTATGGTTCGAGCGATAGAAGCGGCAACTAATGCTTGCATTAGAATAGGTTCTCCATAACACACCTTTTAAAGTGCGACCCTTCCCCACATTTTACGTGAATGTTGAAATGCCTTGTACACCGAGCTGCCCAGTTGAAATTTTATTAAAAAAATTCATTGTGGTATTCAGGAAAAGGGAACAAAATGGATAGCAACCAATCATCTTTATTTCTGGTGCTAAGGCAAGACATTAAGTAAAGTAAGAACATACAACGGACAGACATACTTGTTTTGTTTTATAATTTTATTTTTTTTTAATATTTTAAAGGACATGACTGGAAACTCAATGAGCATTATGAACGGTGGCAAAGACACGTGGATTTCATCCGATAGCGTTTATGAAAAAGTACTTATATACGAGTGTAATTAGTAATATTTTCACTAAACCTTATACTATACAGTATACACAATCGATTGATAATGGTTGCAAATAATACAAAGTTATTTTGAATTTATATGAAATACAGTCTTAAATTGATCACAACAATTCAAGGCACAAAACGCACTTAGGAGTTATTATGACTATAAATTGACATTACTTACACAATATCCTGTAAATTTTTTATTATCTATCCCGAATATTTACACTAAATTAAGTAATCTGACATTATTAATTAGTTAAAAAATAAAGTAAAACTATATGTTATTCAATCATAGTTAAATGATAATATAAGTATACAAGACACGTGATTTTGCATTCATTGGCTTGATAACACGGAAAGAGCATCAAAGACGGCAATACCACAGTGATTAAAACTGTATTTTAACTTATAGAACGTTAAATAATCTTAAGTTGAATAATATGAGAATAAAATTTGGAATAAATAAATAACAAAGGAACTAATATTATTTTTTATTGAGTATAGTTATTATTATTGATAGATCAATTCATTATTGTATTGTGTAACATAACTTCTAGTTAGTAGTTAGCTTAGTGATTAGCCTAGTCCAATTAGTTAATGAGCAATTAGTTTAGTTAACAAGTCAACATGTATATATCCTTATACAATTAGTGAAATGAGATGGGGATTCACATTTTCAGGAAAATATCTCGGTTCCTCCACACTCTTTTCTTCCTCTCTTCTCTCAAAATGTTCTAGTAGACTCCATGGGAGCTTCATCCATTTGAGCTCGCATGCACTCTTGTTATGGTATCAGAGCCGGAACATCAGCTCGGATTTCTTCAGCGTCTTCAACTATCGTCCCAAATTTCATTTAGCTTCGTCAATTTCTAGGGCTTTGGCAATTTCCGCCCAATTCTGAGAAAATCACCTCACAAATTGAAGATCTTAGATCTAGCTGAAAACTTTATATCCTTTAGACTCATCGAATCGGAATTTTGCATATGGCTGTAGATCAAACTGAAGAGATGACCCCTTGCACGAGCAGAAATAACCAATTGGTCATCGATACAGGTAATCCCCTCTACATTCATCTTTCGGATAGTCCTGGCATGACCTTAGTACCAGTTCCGTTCGACGGAATTGGATATCGTTCCTGGAGGAGAAGCGTATTGCGAGCCTTGTCAGTTAAGAACAAATTAGGGTTTATTAATGGAGAGTTTAGAAAACCTAGTTCTGATTCGCCTCAATTCCGCCAATGGGAGAGGTGTGATGATATGGTAACCTCGTGGATCCTCAATTCCCTTGCTATGGAAATCTCTGATAGTGTGGAGTATGTAAATGACTCGGTCGAGCTATGGAGAGAATTAGAGGATCGTTATGACCAAACAAATGGGGCAAAATTGTATCAGATTCAGAAAGAAATTAATGATCTGTGGTTCCTTAGACATCACCACGTACTATACACGAATGAAGAGGTTGTGGGAAGAACTGAACACCTTGAGTGTCAAATCTAAGTGCAGCTGCAATTGCACATGTGGAGCAAAAGAAACTATGCATAAAGCAGAACAGGATCGACGGCTTATCCAATTTCTAATGGGATTGAATGAGGTCTATACAATAGTGCGAGGAAGCATTCTTATATTGAAACCTCTGCCTTCTATGGCACAAGCTTTCTCCCTACTAATACAAGAGGAAAAACAAAGGGAATTCAAGCCCAGTGGTCAACTCAGTCTAGATTCCACTTCACTGCATGTGAATGCAAGTTCACAGAATCAAAGTCCATTTCCACAGAACCAAAGTCCATTTGGGGCCAGAAATTTTAAAACTCACTACACAGCTAGCAACAATAGCAAGGGTCGTCCATTCTGTGATTATTGCAAAAGACTAGGCCATACAAGGGAAAAGTGTTACAAGTTACATGGATATCCTCAAGGCAGTTCCTATAGTAACCAAAACTACAATCGTAATAATTCCAATGTTCGGCCCTATAATCAAGGGAACAACCAGAACCACAAGTTCAACAGAGGAAAAGGATCTGTGGCTAATGTACATGGAACTCCAGCTGACATGATTCATGAGAATGGGAATGAAGAAGAACTACAAAATGATAATCAGAATGTCAATCTGACAAAGGAGCAATATGGGCAGATAATGAACTTGCTACAGCATTTTCAAGTGGGATATGCAGGAGGTTCCCCTAGCAACATCAATGCCACCACTGGCAGTGCCAACTTTGCAGGTATTGTTGTCTGTACTTCTTCTATTGATTTTGACAAACCTTCATGCGAATGTTTTGAATCAAAGGCTGATCTTTGGATTATAGACTCAGGAGCATCCAACCATATGACTTTTAACAGACATGCACTTACCAATATCACCAAATTACCCTATCCTTTACTGATAAGCCTACCAAATGGATATAGAGTAAAGGTTCTTGAATTCGGAGATGTGATACTTTCTTCAGACATTGTTCTACATAGGGTCCTTCATGTCCCATCATTCAAATATAACTTAGTTTCTGTTCACTCTCTTGCAGTACACCTTAGATGTATTGTCTTTTTCAGTGATGCACTTTGTCTGTTGCAGGCCCCTTCAGTGAAGAGGCCTCAGGTGATTGGTAGTAGCAAAGGAGGTCTGTACTATCTCTGTTCCAGATGTTTGAAGGGTAAAAGAACTGTCTTGCCTTCTGTTGTTTCAACTTCCTATTGCAATTGTATTCCGGATCCTCAATCTGTAAATAGTCATACTCATTCATGTCACACTCCTCAATCTGTAAATACTTCCATTTCAAGCAATAAGAATGAGCCTTCATATGTGTTTGATAAGCATGATGTAAATTCTCTGTGGCACAATAGGCTTGGTCATGTTTCTTTTGTTAAAATGAGAGGGATATCCTCAATCCCTCTAAAATTTGCACCAAGACAGCCATTTATCTGCCCTGTATGCCCTATGGCAAGACAAACTAGACTCCCATTTCCCCAAAGAACCAGCACTACCTCCAAATTATTTGAACTGGTGCACATAGATATATGGGGCCCTTACCATGTAACCACCGAGATAATTACAAGTATTTTCTCACACTTGTGGATGACTTTAGTAGATCCACTTAGACCCACTTGTTGAGCTGCAAGAGTAATGCTCTTCGGACCTTAAAGGCCTTTGTAGCCATGATTGAAAACCAATTTAATACATCCATAAAGACCATCAGATCTGATAATGGCTTGGAATTCACCAGCCATGAAGCCCTTTCATTCTACCAATCTAAAGGGATCATACATCAGAAAACATGTCCCTATACACCACAACAAAATGGTGTAGTGGAGAGAAAACATAAATATCTTCTTGAAACTGCCAGGGCTCTCATGTTCCAGTCTAAACTCCCAACTAAATATTGGGAAGAATGCATCCTAACAGCCACTTATTTGATAAATAGGCTGCCAACCACTTACCTTAACAACAAATGCCCCTTTGAGTTGTTGTATCAAAAGAAACCTCATTATTCTCACTTGAGAAGTTTTGGATGTTTATGCTATCCTACTTTACCCAAAATACACAGAGACAAATTTGAACCAAGAACTACTCCTCACATCTTTGTAGGATATTCATTTGGGACAAAAGGTTACAAGGTACTAAGCCTGGCCACCAAGAGAATTCACATCTCTAGAGATGTAATCTTCCATGAAAATGTTTTTCCATTCTCCTTGGGTTCTGAAAATACTTCCTTTCCTGCTGTTCTTAGAACAGTCTCTTATCCTAACTATGCTGAAGATAGTAGTCAAGTTCTCCCTATGAATTTAAGACAAAGTCCTGTTAGTGTTACATCTCCAGAGATAGAACACCACTCTGAGACACCTATTAATGATACATCTTCTCCAAACACCATTGATCTTCCATCCACAAATGATAACAACTTACAGTCTTCACCTAAACATGCTCAGTCAGAAGCACCATTTTTAAGAAAATCCACCAGAAATCATCAAACTCTTGCCTACTTAAGAGACTATGTTTACCAATTACCCAATAGTTCTGCTCAACTTTTCACTGTCACACAACATTTATCCCCTTCACTAAAAGCCCTATTTTCCAATCATCATCATATCACTCCTGATGTTCTATCTACTGAAAGTCAGCACTTGATGCTAAATGTTTGCCATGATAGTGAGCCATCTTCATATGAAGAGGCAGCTCTCAGTCCTGCTTGGCAGGCTGCCATGACACAGGAATTTGTGGCACTTCATGCCAACCATACTTGGGATTTGGTCCCCTTGCCAGCTGGAAAACAAGCAATAGGTTGCAACTGGGTATATAAAATCAAACATAGGGATGATGGGAGCATTGAAAGGTTCAAAGCTAGGTTGGTAGTAAAGGGTTACACTCAGTAGGCTGGGATTTACTATACAGAAACTTTCTCCCCTGTTGTGAAAATGACAACTGTTAGAGTCCTAGTTACAGTAGCTGTTAAGAAGGGATGGGACATATTCCAATTAGATGTGAACAATGCCTTTCTCCATGGGGACTTACATGAGGAAGTCTATATGGAGGCCCCTCCTAGTCTTGTAGTAGATCAGTGCAGTTCAAGTAGAGTGGTGTGCAGACTGAACAAGTCACTGTATGGACTCAAGCATGCCAGCAGACAATGGTATGCCAAATTGACTAAAGCATTGTCTTCAAAAGGGTACCAGCATTCTGAAAATGATCACTTACTCTTCTGCCAGAAAACTCCTTCCTCCATCATTTTTGTGGCTGTCTATGTTGATGATGTTATAATTACTGGAACTGATTCAGGGGAGATTGCAGGTTTGAAAGCTTTCCTGGATCAAATGTTCAAAATAAAGGATCTAGGTAGACTTCACTATTTTTTGGGACTAGAAGTCTTGTATAAACCAGATGACATTCCTATCTCTCAAAGAAAGTTTGCCTTGGATTTGTTGAAAGAATATCAGTGTTTTGACTACAGCAGTGTTTCTTTACCCCTTGACCCTGCCATAAAGTTGAAAGCACAAGAAGGCAATCTCCTACCAGACCCTACATACTACAGGAAGTTAGTGGGAAAGCTCAACTTTCTCACTAATACTAGGTTGGATATAACTTATAGTGTGCAACTCCTAAGTCAGTTTATGCAAGCTCCACGAGACACCCACTTGACAGCAGCATTTCACCTTCTCAGATACCTTAAGAAGGATCCTACCCTGGGTGTTTTCTTCTCCAATAATCTTGACTGCTCAATCAAGGCCTTTTGTGACTCAGACTGGGCAGCCTGCCCAGACTCTAGGAGGTCTGTCACTGGGTATATTATTTTGGTGGGAGATAGCCCTACTAGCTGGAAGTCCAAGAAGCAGGAGACTGTTTCCTTTTCCTCGGCTGAAGCAGAATATAGATCTCTCAGGAAAGTAGTTGGGGAACTGGTCTGGTTGAGCAGGTTATTTGCAGAACTTACTGTTGTCCAGTCAAGTCCTATCCAGGTGTTTTGTGATAGTCAATCTGCTATACACATTGCTCATAATCCAGTGTTTCACGAGAGGACCAAGCACATTGAAGTTGATTGCTATTTTGTTAGGCACAAACTGCAAGAAGGCCTAATCTCTCTTCATCGTGTATCCACTCACAATCAGTTGGCTGATATCCTCATAAAGGCTCTCACAGGGGTCAAACACTCAGCTGTCCTAGGCAAGTTGGCTGTGAGGGCCTCACCTCCAACTTGAGGGGGGGTATTGAGTATAGTTATTATTATTGATAGATCAATTCATTATTGTATTGTGTAACATAACTTCTAATTAGTAGTTAGCTTAGTGATTAGCCTAGTCCAATTAGTTAATGAGCAATTAGTTTAGTCAACATGTATATATCCTTGTACAATTAGTGAAATGAGATGGGGATTCACATTTTCAGGAAAATATCTCGGTTCCTCCACTCTCTCTTCTTCCTCTCTTCTCTCAGAATGTTCTAATAGACTCCATGGGAGCTTCATCCATTTGAGCTCGCATGCACTCTTGTTATTTTTTCCCTTTAAGATACGATTTTGAAACAACTCTTCTGTCCCATTTTATGTGAAACTAGTACCCCAAGTCAAATGGAGAAGTTTTTTTCATGACTACAACATTTTTCAATTGTTGATGGCATGCTTGGCCATAAAAGAAAATTTTACTTTTTTCGGAATCAGTATTTGGCCATGAAAATTTTAAATTTTACTTGAAGTTGAATTTCGAAATTTTTTGAAAATTTGAAAAACTCCGAAAAGCCGTTTTTCGAAATTTTCACTTTAATCACTCACAAAAATTCAAAAACAGCTCCAGAATTCTATTCATGTTCAAACACAATTCTAATTTTCAAATGTTATTTTCACTTGATATTTTCTTTCTCACTTTTTTCGAAACTTCACAATTCTTATGTCCACCTAGTTACAAAAGTTGCAAATTATAATGTTTATACGGAGTTCTAAAACATTTAATTTTTATGTTAAAAATTAAAACTGAGATATAAATTTATGTCAAAGGAAAATGTTTTTTTTTTGTCTCCTATTTCAAGTCTCGTCGTTATTTTTGAGATCACCAAAAAAAAAAAAAAGGTTCCATTTTTTGTAGCACTAATTAGTTTGGAGCTTTCAAAATAGAATCATCCCTGGAACCTTAGGTTTTTGTACAATAAACAAACGTGTCAGTAAATATTGATCTTGTCTTACTTAGGTCACCAAAATTTATTAAATATTTGAGTATTTTTGTGGCCCCCATTATAGAAAATGGCAGCATGTACAGCTTGTGATATTTCAGATGAGGACTTCTTTTGAATGTTCTGTTTGAGAACTAAAATTGGGAAAAAAAATTAAAAAAAGAAACAATGAAGGAAAAACATAAAGAGAAATGAAAAGAAGAGCAGTGGTGATACGTTTAATTATCAAAAAGAAAAAGGAACTAGCTATCGTTGGCGTTTGGATAATATTTGATTGAAATTAATATTAAAGAAAAAAGGTTTTGAAGTTAAAGTGAAACAAAATATTTGGGAGTCTTATAAATACATTTTTTAACTTCCAACTAAATATTGTCCGATCAATTAGAATATATTCTTGGATTTGGCTATCTGAATTCATTCATTGAATGCCAAGTTGACCAATTAACGAGGAACTTATGCAATGTAAATATTTTTTTTAAATATATTTTGGTTTCTTACCGGGTGCTTGGTATTCCTCGACTAAGAATTCGAGTCGCGTAAGGCCGACTAAAGACTATAGAGAGAAGCGCTTTTTATTAGAATTTTTTTTATTATAAAAATTAGGGCTGCATATCGGGCGGATTGGGCGGTTATTTACTCTTAACGGTTTTTGCTTATCGGTTATCGGCTTTTTAAATGTATTAATCCGCTAGCCATCCGATAAGATATCGGTCGGATTGGTACCGGTTTAGCTCTTATCGGGCGGTTATCGGGCAGTTTATCGGCCTAATTCAATCTATATTGCGTGCATTAATTGTTTGCTGACCGGTGACTCAAAATAGAAAATTGAGAAAAGAAAAAGAGAAATTAGAGTAGCAGCTTTCCAATTTTAAGTATTAAAATAGCCGTCAATATGAATTCTCCAAACTCTCAGCTCAGGATAATTCCGTTACTCTATCATCATCTTGATTACACCTCACAATCACATATAATATATACGCCTTTTTCTTTTAACTTTCATAACTAATATTCTTCGAGAAAGAAGTTAAGACGTTGTACCAGTGAATAAGCATTAGAATACTGACATCAGCAACAACGAATTAACGATATGAGATCTTTTCTGTAGTAATTAATTTATATATATATATATATA